ATGATGCTGTCTAGCACAGGTGATAATGATGCTGTCACTGTTGACAGGTTGGGGATCCCCTTAGGATGAGCGAGAGAGTCAAGAGGCTGGAGGAGGCTGGCGAGTGTTTTGCTTTTCCAGCAGGCCAAGATTGACCTCCGCTTACTCCAGGATAACTTTACAAGATGGTCAACTGTATCTCACTCTTCTCGCCGCTTCCCCCTCCATGCCCCCCCCCTCAGGTATTTAATTGCCACTTTTACAATATCCACATTACAGCTCACCTACCTATTTTTGCCCACACCTCAAGGTGACATTTACACTTGCCATTTTACAATACCTCCACACTCTACAGCCTCCACCTCCCCATGCCCACACCCTCAAGGTGACTTTTACACTTACCACTCTTACCATACCTTCACACTGCAGCCTCCACCTCCCTATGCCCAAAACCTGCAAGGTGACTATTATATTTAAACCACTCTTACTGTACCTTACACTCTGTATCTCCAATCACCCTGCCCAAGCCCTCAAGGTTTAAAAACGTTTTGGGCCCAACTCTTACTGTACCTTCACACTCATGCACCAGCCCCTGCTTATTTGTGATACACCCTCCACTCATCTTTTGTCTTGTGAGTACCCACACTCACAACTTTCAAACACTCCTGCACCAGCCCAACTCTCCCACACCCAAAAATCCCCCACACTCCTGCCAAACATTACCTGTCCACGTGCCATACCCTCCACACACTGGTAATGTACCTCCATACACTCATGTACCAGCCCCTACCCATCTTTGTGCACACAGTTCACACATTCTGTCTCCTGCCTACCTGCACCTCTCTCCCCTCACTCTTGTACCAGCCCCTCATACAACCATATCCACTCCTGCACCCCTCTCCTCTCACTCTTGCACCAGCCCTCACACAACCATGTCCACTCCTTCACCAATTTTTGCTTTTCACTCTCACAGGTTCCAAAGAGTTTTTTATGCATTAGCCCTCCTCCTTCCATACCCATACTTTGCAAACACTTCTACATGAACCATCTTCTACACCTACACCTTCCAAACAATTCTACATGAGCCATCTTTGTCACACACCAACAAACACTTCTACATGAACCATCTTCCTCATACACTCAAGAAATCCCTGTCAGTCAACATCTATTACCACATAATACATTGTACAAAATTGGATGACATTACATCAGTCACTCGGAAACCCAGAAAGAGCAAAAACGCACAATACCGTGACTGGAATAATACATAAATAACTTGCACATAGGGAAAGAGGAGCTTTGACAAGTTTTGGTCTTACTTGGATTATTTATAAAGTCCAGTTAGTGTGACTTGTAAATGGTCCAAGTTGGCCTGAAACATCATCGTAAGCAGTCTCCTATGTGCAGGTTATTTGTATAGTGGAAACTCTCTTTGGTATGCAGAGCATTTCAGGCAAGTTGAAACCTAACTTACTTCTAGAAGGACTATAGTGTTTTTAAATATATGTATAAAGGCACAAATGATATTTACCAGAAAAGTAGATTAAATGTATATGAACCAAATGTCCTAGGTAGTAGGTTGGTAGACAGCAACTGCCCAGGGAGGTACTACCATCTGCCAAGTGAATGTAAACCAAATCCCGTTAATGTTTTACTGAAGGTAGGATTGCTGGGGGTCTTTTTTCTGTCTCATAAACATGCAAGATTTCAGGAACGTCTTGTTACTTCTACTTACACTTAGGTCACACTACACATGCATGTACAAACATATATATACACACACCCCTCTGCATTGTCTTCTATTTTCTTACTAGTTCTTGTTCTTGTTTATTTCCTCTTATTTCCATGGGGAAGTGGAACAGAATTCATCTTCCAGTACGCTGAGGTCAGTGGTCACCTGCGGTCATACCTGCCTAAGCTCTTGGGAGTTAGCGTGGGGTGTTACCAAGCACCATGGCTTGTTGTAGTGTTTTAGAATCTCAGGTTCAAGTGTTGAAGAAAGAGATTCTACTTCAAGAGGAAAATAGGAAGCTGAAGCTTCGCATAGATGAGTTTGGGTGTGAGTGTGAGAAGCATTTAGCTGGTAAGGAGAAAATGGTCACCAGCAGTGAGAGTGGCAGCCGCTTTAAGTGGCAAGTGGTTCACAGTTCAGGAAGAAGGAAGATGAGGAGAGTTAATAGAGAAGATGTGAAGGTAGGAAATCGATTCTCTGTTCTCCAAGACGAGTGTACTTCAGTGGTTAGTGAGGTTGAAGGTACCACTGATTCCCCTGCTAATCAAGGTAAGAATATTTTAATAGTAGGCGATTCTCTGGTAAGATATATGGACCGTGCATTTTGTAACAGAGACAGAAAGGTCAGACAGAGAGCGTGCCTTCCTGGAGCTGGTGTTGGTGACATAGCAGGTTGGATAACATTATGGCAGGTAATTGGAACAAGCGCATTATCTGTCTTAGTGCTGGGGGTAATGACATTGGGAAGGGCAGGAGAGAGGAGCTGCTGGATAAGTACAGGTTAACCATAGAAGTAGTTAGGTCTAAGGGAGGGATCCCAGTCATATGTAGCATCTTGCCTAGAAAGGGAGTGTGCAATGAATGGATGTCTAGGGCAATTGGTATAAATTTCTGGCTAGACAGGTACTGCAAGGAACTTGCAATCCCATTCATTGATAACTGGGACCTATTCTTTGGCGAACGTGATATGTATGCAAGGTTTACTATACAAATAGTAGGAGTCTAAGAAATAAGATAGATGAGCTAAGATTACTTGCAAGTGTAGGTAATATAGATATTATTGGCATAACAGAGACCTGGTTCAACCTGAAAGATAGAGAACTGCCTTCTGAATGCAACATACAGGGTTATAAACTATTCCACACTGATAGGGTCAACAGGAAGGGTGGTGGAGTTGCGATGTATGTCAGAGAAAATTTAAATTGTTGTCTTAGATATGATATAAAATTAGAAACATCAAACACAGAATCTGTTTGGCTACAGTTTCTCGAGGGACGTGACAAATTAATTTTGGGTGTGATTTATAGGCCCCCAAACCTTGATAGATAGGGAGTGCAGTAAACTGTTATGGGACAAAATTCATAAGGCATCTAGATATGAAAATGTTGTGATAATGGGAGATTTTAACTTTTAGACAAATTGATTGGAACAATATGACAGGAAATCTTGAGTCTAGTGACTTTCTTGATACGGTTCAGGATTGCTTTTTAGAACAGGTTGTGACAGAACCAACTAGAGGAAACAATCTGCTTGACTTGGTTCTTGCCAGCAAAGATTCACTAATTAATAATCTTGAGGTTAATGATGAGCTTGGGGAAAGTGATCACAAATTGCTTAGTTTCAATATATCATGGAATTATCCAGATAACTGCAATCAAATCTCTGTCCCAGATTTTCACTTGGCCGACTTCATGGGACTGAAAAATTACCTGGGTGGGCTAAATTGGGATGTCCTGACTATGGGTCAGGTAGGTGATCTTGGTTGCCAATACGACGTTTTTCAGAGCATAGTTCTAGCTGCCCAGACAACTTTTGTTCCAAGTAGGGAAATTAGATCTAACAAAAATGATCCCAAATGGATGAACAATAGATTAAAACATCTCTTTGGTCAGAAGAGAGGCATATTAAAAGAGGGGATTGGCAGTTAAGAAATCAATATATTCAATTAAAGAGAGAAATAAAGAAAGGAATAAGAAAAGCAAAAGGGATTATGAGACTAAGGTCACAAGGGATTCAAAGACTAACCCAGAAGTAAGATTACAGAAGTAAGATTAGTATACAGAAGTAAGATTATGGACAAGATTGGCCCACTTAAGAGTAACTCTGGTCAGATCACTGACAGTTATAAGGATATGTGTGAAATTCTCAATACCTACTTCCTCTCAGTTTTCACCCAGGAAAATACTAGTGATATTCCTGAAATATTAGATTACAGTGGACCCTCGACCAGCGATGGCATCGATTAACGATAAATCTGACTAGCGATACATTTTATCGCAAAAATTTTGCCTCGATTAGCGCTAAAAAACTCGACCAACACTATTCCTTCCGTCTGAGACGCGTCCACTTCTGGCCATTGTTTACAAGCCAGCCAGCCACCGCGGTCGCTTCCAAGCATACAATCGGAACATTTCATATATCACAGCCTTTTTAGTGATAGCACCTGCAAAATAAGTCACCATGGGCCCCAAGAAAGCTTCTAGTGCCAACCCTACAGCAAAAAGGGTGAGAATCACTATGGATATGAAGAAAGAGATCATTGCTAAGTATGAAAGGGGAGTGCATGTCTCCGAGCTGGCCAGGCTGTACACAAAACCCCAATCAACCATCGCTACTATTGTGGCCAAGAAAACGGCAATCAAGGAAGCTGTTCTTGCCAAAGGTGCAACTATGTTTTCGAAACTGAGATCGCAAGTGATAGAAGATGTTGAGAGACTGTTATTGGTATGGATAAACGAAAAACAGATAGCAGGAGATAGCATCTCTCAAGCGATTATATGGGAAAAGGCTAGGAAGTTGCATGATGATTTAATTAGAAAAATGCCAGCAACTAGTGGTGATGTGAGTGAATTTTAGGCCAGCAAAGGTTGGTTTGAGAGATTTAAGAATCGTAGTGGCATACATAGTGTGATAAGGCATGGTGAGGCTGCCAGTTTGGACCAAAAAGCAGCTGAAAAATATGTGCAGGAATTCAAGGAGTACATAGACAGTGAAGGACTGAAACCTGAACAAGTGTTTAATGGTGACACTGACAATGTTGTCAAACACATTAGGAATGTCATAAAGGAACGGGAGGTAAAGGCCTCTATGGGCAGATATGTTGTGCGACAGAGGTCCAGTGACTCTCAAGCTGGTCCTAGTGGCATTAAAAGAAGGAAGTAACCCCGAAAAAGGACTTGCCACCTCAAGTCCTAATGGAAGGGGATTCCCCTTCTAAACACTAAGACCATCAACACACTCCCCTCTTCCCATCCCATCACTCATCACCAGATCTTCAATAAAGGTAAGTGTCATGTAACTGTGCATGTCTTCTTCAGTTTGTGTGTATTAAAATTAATATTTCATGTGTTAAAATTTTTTTTTTCAATACTTTTGGGTGTCTTGCACGGATTAATTTGATTTCCATTATTTCTTATGGGGAAAATTAACTTGACTAACGATTATTTTGACTAACGATGAGCTCTCAGGAATGGATTAATAGCGTTAGTCAAGGGTCCACTGTATATAGAACAGGATAATAAACTATGTACGATTGCAGTAACTAGTGACATGGTCCTCAGACAAATAGAGAAATTAAAACCTAACAAATCCCCAGGCCCTGTTGAACTGTTTGCAAGGGTGTTAAAGGAATGTAAAGAGGAACTTGCATACCT